TTTTTTTTTTTTTTTTTTGAGTCAGGGTCTCATTCTGTCACTCAGGCTGGAGAGCAGTGGTATAATCCTAGCTCACTGCGGCCTTGACCTCCTGAACTCAAGTGATCCTCCCATGTCGGCCTCCCAAGAAGCTGGGACTACAGGTGTGTGCCACCATGCCCAGATAATTTGTTCATTTTGTGGTAGAGATGAGGTCTCCTATGTTGCCCAGGCTGATCTTGAACTCCTAGGCTCAAGTGATCCTCCTGCCTGGGCCTCCTGAAGTGCCGGGATTGTAGACGTGAGCCCCACATACAGACTTTGTGTCTTTTTTTTTTTTGAGTTGGAGTCTTACTCTGTCGCCCAGACTGGAGTGCAGTGGCTGCTCCCAGCCACCGCAGCCTCAATCTGCTGGGCTCTGGCGATCCTTCGGCCTCAGCCTTCCGAGTAGCTGGAATTATAGGCGCGCGCTACCACGCCCGGCTATGACTTTGCGTCTTTATTTGCTCAATTCACCTGGAGACAGCCTTGCTTGTGCCTAAAAGGCCTCTGGCTCTTGTCCTAAGGATTTTATGGAACAAGAAAATAAGTCTGTGTTGGCTGATTGTACGGGTGAGGGAGGACTAGGAACTGTGAACATCTGGATAGGCTCTGAGCACTTGCAAAGTGTCTCTACACATGATTATTTAAATTTTATTTCAGCTTTATACATGTTTGCAGTAGAAAGGTTGAGGTAGTTCTGTCTCTATTTTTTTTAATTTGGAGTCTTACTCTGTTGCCCAGGCTGGAGTGTAGTAGCATGCTCATAGCTACACCAGCATCGACCTCAGGTTATCCTTCCACCTTAGCCTTCCGAGTAGCCAGAACTACAAGCATGCACTACCATGCCTGGTTAATTTTTTGATTTATTGTAGAGATGAGGTCTCACCAAGTTGCCCAGGCTGTTCTTGAACCCGTGGGCTCAGACAATCTGCTCACCTCAGCCTCCCAAAGTGCTGGGATTACAGGCTTGAGCCACCATGCCTGACCAAATTTTTTTTAATACTTTAAAAAATTGTTCTGAGCTGGGCTCGGTGGCTTAGCCTGTAATCCCACACCTTTGGGAGGCTGAGGTGAGTGGA